CAAATTGGGGGAGGGGTTGGGGTTGTATGGAGATAAAGACAGTCCCATTAAAACACATGACTTACCTGTATGATATTCATGAAGCAGAATTGGATAAGAGCCTTGTCCAAAACGTCACCATTAAAACATCCCAAATTTTTCAGATTTACAAACAGATCCATCCAATACTGTATATTCTATTTCCTTAAAAATCCCCACCATTGTTCAATTCTTTGATTGTGGGTGCTAGGGCCTGTTAAGAAACAACTATTAGCATACTGATCTTGCCCGTTTCGTCTCCGGAATAGTTGCATCTGTTGAATATGATTATTTTCGGTACCTTTGTCAGTCCGTACTCTGCTAGGACAACTATTGTTTCGTTTAATGCACTCCATAAAGTATCCTGCTACAAGTTTAGGGTCACTATTGGTGATATGAGCTTCAAGCCAAAGAACGTATCTTGAGAAGCCATCAATCGCCCCATTAATACATATGTTTTTAATTTGTCATATCCATCTACGTGCCATAGAAAGTTAGGTCCTAAATTCGTGTACACTCTTCTGGTTAACCGCCTCCGTTTACGTTGTTCAACTGCATCGTGTGCAATAATTGATAGTAATATCCTGACAGTCTCCCTTGTCACAACATAACCCTCATGCAAACATTTCAAATGCATGATTTTATAACCATGCAAACCGCCAGACTTATTACACTCATCAACGAGAAAAAGTGCAATTTCCATTACCGAAGAGTAGTTCACACGTCGAAACAATCCAAGCCTTTTCAAGCACCGTTTGAGTGTACGCATACATATCACTACACAATTCGTCTTTGCAAGACTATTGAGAATGTCTTTATAACCTAGTCCTAAGCAAAAATAGACTCTTATAAGTTCATCCATGATTATACCACCAAGCGCGAAGAGATTCACTTAAATACTACCGTTTTACTTAATTAGGAGATAAAAAGTCCTAATTAGGAGATAAAAAGTTCTAATTATTAGATAAAAAGTCACAATTACGCTAAAAAAAATCGTGGCACCAGGAGGCTTCCGTACATATCTATAAGAGTTAATGTTGCTTCAGTTTTTTCGATTCCATCTCAATAATTAATAATTACCTCATGTAGCATGTTGTTATGTAGATGTTCCCAGACTGAGAGTTACTTTAAAAGACCTCTTCCTGTGTACTCCTCAATGAACCGAAGAGCTTCTTATTATAAACCAAAGCATGCCCATATCTATAAGAGTTAATGTTGCTTCAGTTTTTTCGATTCCATCTCAATAATTAATAATTACCTCATGTAGCATGTTGTTTTCAAAAACTCAGGTCATGAGAAACATACAATTAATTAACCGCGGCCTATGGTGTAATTCATTATTTATACATTTGGATCATGACGGGACTTTTAAAATGTTAATAACCAGATACCTTTTATGAAGGGTGTTTCACCGGTGTCCTCTTACCAAGATAAATCTAGAGGTATCAGATACATTTACACAAAAATGCTCTCGTGAAGAATAGGCTCGATGAATATTAGGCGGAGTCAGTCGTCTGCAAGAGGCGAAAGAGCGGAACGTACCGTGTAGCCCCCCCCCCCCATCCCAAATAAAATTTGACCGTGCAAACGCATTTTCTTGCTATTCCAGGCCATTAATTCAGCAACTTCAAAGTGGTCTAATATAACCTGAGTGTGATTCTTGTATGTTTTCTAGAATCGTCATTGTTGAATAAATGAAAATAGGAATCTTGTCGATAGTTAATATTTCTATATTCCTTGGTTAACAAATAATCAACATAAATTACAGCAGACGATTAAAGTAATAAATATTGGTTCAGGGTTAAATAGTAGATAAGCTCCAATATGCTACTTGGTATAACCTTTTGATAGGTGTTATAGACTGCCATGCTCCGAAAGAGCGAAAATGAGTGAAAAGATATTATCAACCGAAGTAGTTTAATGAGGAAATAAAAAAAGCCCGAAAGTTCAGGGACTTCTTTAAGGCCTCCAAGAGATGGGACGACTATAGAATATGGAGAAATAAAACCAAAAATCTCATTACTAATGCCAAAAGGAACTTTATCAAGGAATCTATTGAAAAGGAAGAGCAATCTAAAAACATATGGAGATATTTTTCGTGACATACAGAATAAAACCAATAATTACCCTTATCCCAATAGTATTAAATATGGTAAAACAACAGTTATTGCTATTGCTATTGATAATGTGATGAATGATTACTTCACGAATTTAAATGATGAAATTAAGCCTCTTATACAACGCTTTCTCAAGAGTGAAAACAAAAAATATCAGATTACGTAAATGATAAGATTTCCCCAAATAACTTTTCTATTAATTGTATTACTACCACAGAGGTATTAAAACATTTATTGAGTTTAAATAGTAACAAAGCCATTGGGTGTGATGGTATTGGACCCAAAATTTTAAAATTGGCTACGTATAGAATTTGTAGCAGTTTGACATATATCATTAATCTGTGTATTTCTAAAACATGTTCCCCGGTGCCCTTCAACTTGCTAAAATTATTTGATACGGTCGTTTACGTTTTTCTGAATCGGGTCTGTCTGCCATTATAACAAATGGTGATGGTGATGAATATCAGTATGATAATTATGTTTTTTGCAAATTCCAATATTGAAATCCGATCGAGCTAAATACGACGTTGACTACAGCGCAACTGAAAGAGCAAGACGTCCACAAATGCAATAATCGAGAATCTCCGAATTAATAACCAAAGAAGTCAAAAATCATCAAAACAAACACACATATAGCAATTTGGAACAAGAATGCGGTGTCGGTGTTCGAAAATGAACACAAATTAAATCTGGAATAAAGAAACCAGAGCACGCGAATCCATGTAAAATTTCTTGTTCGGATCCAAATAAATTTTCTAAAAAAATACTCGGGTCCGGCTAATTTTTTAATATTTTACTCTGATTCTACAAAACGCTCATCCAACGAACGCAAGTTTTATTTCGGATCCGAGTAAAACTCAGAAAAAAAGTGAGAAAGACTGATCGTATGTATAATGATGATGTAGACTGATATGGCCTACTGGCTATGTACCTATTTTAATTCGGCTCCGAATAAAATTCAGAAAAAATGAGAAAAGTAGAGTAGTCTCGTCTGGGATTTTTGTGGTAGTTCAGTCTGATTGTATGCGATGAAGCAACCCGAACATCATGAAAATGCAAACCTGTTTACGCATCAGTACCGATACTGTGCGCCGACGTCTCACCAGAGAAAACATCCATTGTCCTAGACCTTACTCTGTCCTGATCCTCACCCCTCGCCATCGATGTGAACGTCTACAGTTTGCCCAACAACACCAGAACTCACTGGCGACACAGGCAATGGCGAACTGTTCTGTAAGTCGTTTTCTAGAATGATTCGATAAAAGTACCTCTCTGATTTTGAAATCGTACTGACCAAGATACTGTGCTATACGATGGCATTATGGCTACCAAATTTGCAACTTAAACCCATACGTAATAGGTACAATAGTTCTTATAGTGGTAGGTGCAGGAAAGGTTATTAGGCTTTCACCTTCGGTGAAAGACTATTGTTATTACTAAGATTAATATTATTATTATTAGGCTTATTGTTATTACTAAGATTAATATTATTATTAAGCTTTCATATTACATATGAAAGCTTATTGTTTCTGTTAAGATTATTATTGTTATTTTTTTTTGTGTGTTTTGTCCACAAATCGGATTTCTCAGAATCTAACCATAGGATCGTTCTGAAACTTTTACCTATCCCACAAAAAATGGGTGGTGGCTGTTGATTAAATATATTTTCAAAACGTTTTACGAATCCGAAATCACCGAATTTTACGAAGGAATGCATTTGACCTTCAATGCTGTAACTTTGTGACTATTTGACCTATTTTACTAATTCTTTTTTCTTTGAGTATCTTGAAACATTTACTTCAAATCTGCAATTTCGGATTTTGGCATTTCGAAAATTCGTCGCTGTCATTTCGAACCGGAAGTTATTACCAATTTGACAACTTCTTTAATAGTTTATCGATTTTCGTGAAATTTAGAATGTTAGTAGATCTTGCCAATGCGACTTCAATGATGTCCTTGGAAATTTTCTAAATTATCTCCCCTTGGTGAAATTAAGGATCAAAGTTTTCAAAAAAATCGTCGAAATATAGGTCAGAATGACCTAAAAAAAAAATTCGATACTAGACAAGTAATTACTGATTCGTACACAAAATATGGAGTTTGTCGATCGAACCGGAAGTGCCACCATCTTTAAACGTGAAAAATCAAAAAGGCTTTTTTGCTATTTTACTTACAGACTCGGGCGTCATATTTTCGGAATCCTGGAAGGAATGCCTAAAAATCTATCGGATCAGAATTTTGATTTGTCACGTGATGGTCACCATTTTGAATTGAAAATGAAAAATAGAAGCAATTTGAAGGGCCGGGACTTTGGAACACAAGAACTCTCCTTCTAATTAAGCTAGAATGTTCAAACTTGGTGTAGGCGTTCACTAGGTCAATGTCATGATTGAGTTCAAAGATGAGCATTTTTTGCCTAGGGTAAGCAGAGATAAGCAAGTTGATTCTTTAGGGCACGATGACATTGGTTATAATGAATGGAGGGCGATGAAACTCTTGTCAATCGAGAGGCTAATAGCTGGCCTGTTGTGTGAAATCATTGTATCATTTTTTGAAAATGTCCGGGGTAGCCGAAAAAAGGAGATCGAAATCCAAAAAGTCGTATTTTTACGATTTGGGGCATTTTTAGAGGTCGTGTAAAGTAAAATAAAGCATGCATATACATATATTATTGATATTAAATATATCATATAAAAAACTAAACAATGAATCAGCTGTCATTGACAGATTTTATATTATAAGCATGGTCAGTGGAAGGTCAGCGTATTGTCTAACTTGAACTCACTGACTCCGTAACATTATTGTGGGTATGGTATAAGCTGAATTTGACGAGATGCTTCCAACCATTAATTTTTTATTGGAATTGATACATTTTGGCTTCCCAATGAAGGGGTGGGAATTCAATGGCCTAATGGTTAGCATGCACACGCAGTATCATACACCCTGCCATTGAGTATAATCTGCAGGGTGGGTGAGTGAATAATTGGAAATTTTCCCCTTACACTGTCTTACAGTCATCTCTAATGATTTCCTGTCAAATTACTCCACCAAAACACAAGAATTGCCTCCTATGAAATGCAAACAGTTATCTCCCATTCACTATATACCAGTTACCAATAAACCACACATATTCAGAAATAATTCATACATATTTTTCTAAACTAGAGATGGCCATTTATAATTTCTCATATATTTTATTTATCTTTCAGAGTAATGCCATAACAATAAAAGGCATGTTGGTTTATCAGACTGAAATCAGAAAAAACAACCAAGGATCAAGATATGGTATATCTCACTTTGTGACATCAAATGATGTCTACTTTATCTCATTCCCTGAACAATTTATAGACGAAATGGATCAAGACAAATTTTACATATTGAAAAATGTTTACAATAGTCCAGATGGATATCGGTTAAAAAGCCATAGTGAGGTATAGCATCCATTAATATTCAAAAAAACATATATATACTCTTCAAAAAAGAGTATGTATAGCCAGCCCATTTCCGTATTTTAATTCAACAAAACCATTGGTTTTTTTTAAGGTACCTGATTCTCTATCTCAGTATCATGTCAAGTCTTACATGTTGGAAACATTTATTGTTTGTCAATTTAATTCAACATTGATGTTGTGATCTTACAGCAAGAAGAACAGCTTTAATTGAAACTTACAATATTTCTTCAAAAACAATTGATTTGTAATTACAGACAAATTGTTATTAATAAAAAAATTACACCAATTCATTATTGGATTTACACGTACAGTAATTGTAAATGAAAATTATGCCAAAAAAAAATTCTGCTTGATTGCACCAAAACGCCAATTAATCAACTTCTCAAGCGTTTCGCATGGAACCTAAATCTAAGGCTTCTAAATTTATGGGTTTTGCTTTCAAAATAAGATGCTCATAATATATAGACAAAAATTCACATTTGCTAAATTAGGTTCATATTAAATGAGTGATTAAATTTGGCGTATAATTTAATAACAAAAGTACCATGACATAAGTTTGATAATAAGCATTTTCTCCTCACTGTAATGACAGCAATAAGCAATTTGATTAGTCAACACTTTGGAACACAATAACTGTCCTAATTTGAGAAAACACCTTCCCCCCTTACAAATTTGACCAAAGCAGTAAAACAATAATAAACTTTAAATTTACTTTTGTTCTCTAATCTCTACATTGAATAATATATTTCAAATCATTCCTTGAATATACCTTGAATTTATCACAATAATGGCTATATAAATAAACCTATATCACCTATTCAATATGTTTATTTCATAGATCTTTTCTACAAAGCCTTGTACAATAAATAACACTGCCTTGCAACTCTTCAAAAACGCACCAGTAGTATCCATTCCAGATGCTGTGTCATCCCCAACAAAGAGAAGGTTTAGTGTTTGTGGATTTATTCAACATGTAAGTTTTATTTGCATCTTTTTTTATACACTCACATTTTCATGTGGATGTTTGTTGTCGTCACTCCTGTCTGCCACAATTTGTTCATAGACACTTTACAAGTCACAATTTTTGCCCTTTGACAAAACTTAAAACTTAAATTATTGGTTTATTTTTTAAAAAATCTTGTTTCCATACAATATTCACATGTATCAGATCTAAACTTCATGTATAAATTAGTATAATGCCTTCTCATAGTATGAAAATGTGAACGTATATTGTTGTCACCCCTGTACGTCCATTCACAATTGTAAATATCCTCAAATAACAACAAAAGAATAAATATGCATCAACCCTTGTCAACAACTGATTTAGCTGCTGTAGGCATATATTTCATTGCCTTGCAACCTATCCTACATGTAGTTCAACAGTTGTCAATAACAATATTTTCTGAACAAAACACAAGTATGCGCATATTTCAATACTTTGAATGGTTATTTTCACATATTTAAGCATGCAATATCCAAAGAAACAAATTACATGCTCTTCTGTTTACAAAGTTTTCAATACCATTTTCTACTATGATACATGTATATACCTCACGTATCAAAAACCAAAAGCAACAAAATATCCAAACTAACTCTCTATGACAATAATATTTCTACCATTACAAAACTTAACTGTTTGTAATATTGCAATTGATTATATTTTGCAGATTGGAGAAGTATACTCCGGGGAAAACTCAAGAAGAAAATTAATACGTTTATCAACAAATTCTGACCCTGACACAAGTGAACCACAGGCACATGTTAAATTATGGAACCAATATTGTGAAAATCCATTGCAAACAAAGCAGAAAATAACATTGAAGAATGTCGTTGTTTCTGAATTCAATGGAGTAAAAACAATTAACACAACATCGACGACGCAGATTATTGTAAGTATTTAGCCACAACAATCTACACAAATTAAAAGAATCTATATTCCTTAAAATAATCCTTAAAGTACTACAATATTGCTCCTATCATCCCCCAAAAAACACCATATCTGCCTTTTAAAATCTTCACATATAAGTACTGTTATCACCATTATCTGACATGTGGACATATATTGCCTCGTCCCTGCCCCCATCAAAAATTGTCTAAGCATTTTCTGCTTAGCCACCATACAAAGACTTCAATCTGATTGATCAATACTTCAGAACACAATAACTCTACTTCAAATTGAAATATAAGGGCTAGATACTTTTGATAAAGATAAGTGTGTAATTAAAGTGTCATCTATTAATTCTGATTCCAGCATGTATCCCCCTTCTGTCCATCACCCTTTTTTCATCACCGAATAACTTTCCTTCTAATTGAGCTCGCATTATCAACATGGAGTGAGTCCTTTATTAGATGAATGCCATAATAAGTGAACATCAGCATATTCTGTCTATTGTAAGCAGAGATAACCGTTTTGATTGATTTATACTTTGTAACTAATAACTTTAATTCAAGTTAACCAACACAGACCACATTGTGTATTATCTCATTATAGGATTCAACTGAAGAAACCAGAATTAGTGGTGAGATTCAGGGCATTAATTGGAAAACGTAAGCTGCTATTCATTCCTTCATTCTGATTTCAGACGCTTGATCATAGTGAAATATTTTGTGGAAGCTCAACAGATTTAAATTGGCATCCGATTGGCATTAAATATACATTGGTTATGGTCATGAGATTAAAAATTATTACAAACAAAATTATGTCACTTAATCACTTTGAAAAATCTTGTGGACGCTCTAGAGACCCACGTTTATAATTCATTTTAATTTGACTTAAGAATCCCAAGACAAACAACCTTTTGTTTATGAACAATTTCTGATAATTACTGCCAAATGATGTCTCTGATTATTTGTATAATGTTAGGAATGCCAAACAAGCCAAATTCACTTTAAAGACAATATTGGTGTCAGTCATTATATTATTGCATATGTAATAAAACTGTAAGCACTTTCCAAATATAATTTTAACACAGATCATTGCTACAATAGATAAGTAACAACAGTTTCATCACTCAAAAGTGACAAACACAGAGGAAACCACAAGTTATCGCTCTAAATAACTGACTGAATGACAAGTGATAACAAATACATGAGCAATTTTCTGCTTGCTAATAATTTTCTTCAAGACAAAAAGTTGTGTGACACTGTAAGGATATCTGACAATTTGTAAAAGAATTGACAACCACTAGATTAGAGAACATGAAGGAAAAGCAGAAAAAGCCTGAGGATTACCATGTTTTAAAAGGTATAGAAGGAATAAAAACAAGGGAATGTATAGACCAATTCCCTTTTTTGTCATGATCTCTTATCTGTTGACACTCATTTACTATTGAATTGTCAGATATCCTCTTGCAGTACCATATAACATGGCTCAAAATGTTCACCCGTCTACTTGTCGCCGACAGGCGATTTTTTCGTCCGACAGGTAGTAAATGGACTAAATTTTACTTGATGTTCAGTAAATTGACCACATTACTCACGACCACAATACTCATGTCCACGTCATGTACATGTAGGCCGTATTTATTTATTCGTAGAGTCGTTTCTAAATGCAAGAATTGAGCACGGAAATACCGCGAAAAGCCGCCATTTGCATTGTTTACATTTCGCTCTGTCGCAGGCTACAGGTACTCAGTTTGGAAGTAGACAATTTTATAACAATGAATTTCACACCATCTACGCTTGTTTTCATCTACTTGGCACTAGTTTATAGCATTATGGAGTATTATATCTAAGTAAATTAAAACGTCACCTGAAATAATTCTACCGTAACGACACCACAGTAAATATTGGAAAGTGGCTGGAGTGGAAGGGAAATGCAAGAATTGAGCACGGAAATACCGCGAAAAGCCGCCATTTGCATTGTTTACATTTCGCTCTGTCGCAGGCTACAGGTACTCAGTTTGGAAGTAGACAATTTTATAACAATGAATTTCACACCATCTACGCTTGTTTTCATCTACTTGGCACTAGTTTATAGCATTATGGAGTATTATATCTAAGTAAATTAAAACGTCACCTGAAATAATTCTACCGTAACGACGCCACAGTAAATATTGGAAAGTGGCTGGAGTGGAAGGGAAATACACACGGCTCAATAGATCGATGCTTCGTAAGTTCGTGTATCTAATCATTTAAATAATTTACAAGACAATTTGACAAAATCAAATAATCAGGTCGGAAAAATATCTCGGATATTAATATAATTTGTAGCGTAAATATAGTCCCGATACATTGTATGTGAGACGGGAATTCCAGGTGACGCTACCTGTCTTTCGCACGCGGCATATTTCTTACTGTGCCATGCACAGGTTTGATTTGTGTTTTGATATTCAATTCAATACGGATATTTTAAAATTTGAATTTTACATCTCAACGTCGAACTATTCGATTTAGCACGGAGGTGTGATACCATGATAATTTGCGGAATTCACGTGGCTACGGATGATAGAATTGTAGTTGTACAAATCTTCGAGCCGCTGAGCCAAAGCACATTCGCCGACTTTCAAAAACTTTTGGGCATTCCGATGTCAAAGAAATAAAAAGGTTTCATATTACGATATTTATATGAAGCAATGTGCGTCAATACCTAAACAAACATGTGTGTACCTACATGTATGGATATGTGTGATACTATACTATTACTTAGTCTTTGGGTTTGACAATTGAGAGTGACAGGTAATTTACTGAAGCGACAGGTGTATTTCGCCAAACATAACTGATTTGAAATTAGAGTACAAACGAAAAAGATTGAATGTAAATAAATTTGTATACATTCACATTACATTATTATATGCATCTTGCAGAACAAGAAGCCAAACAAATTTTAATTATTAACTATTAATTAGTTAATCTGTTATTACTTTTATCAGATTCCAGTATATTAAAAATACTTCATTACCTACAAGCACAAAAATATCTGACCATTCTTGATGACTGCCCAAAGAACTTACCTGTGGGCGTTTGTTTCATTGCCTGGCAAACTATCTTTTTTTACAGGGAGGTTCCCAAAGTTCTAATCAATGATATCAGCTATACGATAGAAGCTGACCTATTGAAAACAGTGATGACAAAATATTCTGTAGATGGTATTACAGTGGAGTGCAAAGTAATTGGAAATTCCATTAGAGAAATGTAAGTACAGACAAATGAAAGGAAATCATACTTAACATTCTACTTTCCTACTCCAATCTATCTAGTGTTGAAACTCTACGTCCGATATGCGCAAATATAAAAAACAACCAAGACCATTGGATTAAAAACATACATATCAACTTTCATCAAAATCAGATTATAATTGTCACCTCTACAAAGTCATCAACCTTTATATACCATATTTTACACTATTCGCATACAAGTGACGGCCATTATGTCCCAACAATTTGAACTTGAACACAACCTTCATTATGGTGTAACACTGATACATGTATAATCAATCGATTTTTTTAAATCAGTTAATTATAGTGACCTCCTGAGCAACCACAAGGTAAAAATGTAGTTTTTCATACAATCAGGGGCCATAATTCAATATCAAAAAAGAACCAAGATCTTCTGTTTAAAGATGGATCTCAAGTTTTATCAAAATGAGTTGAAAATTATAACCTCTATATAAGATACACTAGTTAAAAACGCAATTTTTCACACACACAGGATCCACAATCCATACAGTTCTGTTCAATACATGCCATATCAAAAGCAGTCAAGACCTTTTGGAAATACACATATTTCCACTTACATCAAATCACATAATAATTGTGACCTGTAGAATGTCCACAACAATTGTGAACAAACAGACCAACAGGGGCAATAGCATAATACATCCACATGAAAATGTGGGCGTATAGAAATCATTTAGATATACCACCATAATGAAAGTTGAATTTGAAATTCAGGAAAATTGAAATGAAACTGCCCAAAAAAATGGCCACTTTACTTTTTGTATGCAAATTTGATATACAAAAGATATAAATCCTCCACAAACCAATTTTTATCAAATTTGGATGAAACTTAAAACATACCTTTATATTCCATCCTTCAGTCCCTTTTGATATCTGCACATTTCAAACCATAACTCTCTGGAAATATGATTCCTGATAATACAAAAAATCATTTTTATACGCTCACATTTTCATGTAGAGGTATATTATCTTCGCCTCTATGTGTCCGACCATCCACAAACAAAAAGGCTACCGCTGGCACACAAAAATAAAAAAAATATGGCATATCAGGGTTATGAACCCTGCAGTGATCACAATTTTAATGGAACTTGAAATGCACCTTATAACCAAAAGATCTAGGCTCCTTTCAATATTTCCCTATATCCAATAGTAACTGCCTGGAATTATGGCCCCTGATTGTGTGAAAATTGCATATTTTTAGCTTCTGGTTCTTTTGAAGTTATCAATTTCATTGGAATTTGTTTGGGACAAAATAATCCTGATCCTATTTGATTGAGAGTGATAAAAATTAGTGTATAGTTGGATTGCTCCATACTTTTTAATGTGTCATCTATTTTGGGATTTCAACAGGAGCCATCAGCCTCACTGTTGGTATGTTCCTTATAATGATATATCATTTACTTTCAGAAAAAAGATGGCAAAAGAAAAAACAGGGAAAAAATAAATTCTGCCCTCATACTTTACATGTTGGAATTTGTTTTCTTTGATACATTTAACACCAACACATGTTTTATTGCCTGGTAGGCAACCTACTTTATTTTCTTAAATGTTCTTGAATATTATATATTTATTTTTTATGTACTTTATATTTATTCTGTATATCACAATCAGTAATAATCAGTTTCCCCTTCTCTGATCTTGTATACGGCAGCAATCTTGTTACAAATAATATCATATCGCACATCTTGCCTTTTATATACCCTCACATGAATACATGTATTGTGATCATTTATCGTTTAATCTGTCTCAATTTGTATGTGTTACATTTCTCAAACAAATGAACATTATTCAATTTTGTTTATATATTTTAACAATTATGAACATTTCTGCACTTTCTGGAATCAACACTGTCACCAGTATAGTTATGTCACTTAACTTTGCACAGCATTGTCAACATATTCTGTCAGTGACAACAAACTTATATGTTCTTTAGTTTACTGTTTCAATAATGCCATATGAATCTCAACAACTATTTTCTATTCGCCCACATGGAAATGTGGATGTATATTGTCATCACCCTGTATGTCTGTCTGCCCATCCATCCATTGGTTGTCGCCCAGTTTCTTGTAACACTCTAGAGGCTAAAGTTAATATCTGATTGACTTGAAATTTATACACACTGTTTAAGGTCATGAAACAAAGAAACCTATTGTTTTTCAGCGATTTCCGATAATAACTACCAAAAAATCTTGTGGACGCTATCCACAGTTTCTTGTGATTGTTTTTTAAATCATAAAAAAAAGCCTATTGTTTTTCAACGATATCCAATAATTACTGCCAGAGTTATGACCCTTGATCACTTTGAAAAACTTGTGAATGCACTAGAAGCTTATTTCATTATTCAATTGACTTTAATTTATACATTTTAAGGTCATGAGACAAAGACAAAAAACTATCAATTTTCAGCAATATCCAATAATTACTGCCAGAGTTATATCCCTTGATCACTTTGCATTATCTTATGGATGAAAATCATGAGACAAAAAATCCAACCATTTCTGATAATTACGTGTTGTAAACGTTCTCCTTACTGACAAAAGAAAAAATATGTGACAACCCGTGACTGTCCAAACGACATTAATTGTGTGACTATGTTTCATTGCCTGGCAACCTATCATTATTACTTATAAAACCATATCCCTTGTTCTCTCTTGCAAGATATATGCATACATGTATCAACATATATCACATGATAGCAACTGTATACATGTAAATTGCTGTAATACATCATTCTTTCTGATTTCCCCTTCTTATTTTATTTTAATGATTTCTGCATTAATGTGCATTATACATTAACATTGAAATAATTATTTGGGCTTTGTGTGCCCTTCGCTACATCATAGAAATTCTGTTATACAATACAGTATTCATTTTTTTTCTTTACACATCTTTATATGATATAAAGATATTAATTGCCCAATAAATGTAATGTTTTATTGCCTGCTAGGCAACCTGTTTTTATAATTGTTATATACTGTATATGTATTTACAGGGGTTTTTTTGTGTACATATATTTATTTTATGAATAACAGTAAATGACAATTAGATACCTTTTTTTATATATGTCCTTAAATGTTATATATTTATTGTTTATATGTATTTTATATTTATTATATGAATCACAGTTAGTGATAAAACAATTTCCTCTTTTCTGATTGTATTGCAATCTTGTTATAAATAATATTATATCACACAATACGTTACATTTTATTATACTCACAAAGGCTAGCTACCCTGTATATCACATATTCAATCCCAGCATTGTCAACAGAGTTCATCAGCATTTCCCAACTCATTTCCCCTTATCAATGGTACAGAGCAAACCCTGACAAAAAAGTCTAGTATGGTCCGATCTACCAAGGACCCTTCTATAAATTGTAATGCACGTAAAACATCCCTTGCCAATAAAACAGCAATATATTAGTGACCTAAATGCCACTAGGCCGGCAGCCAAAATTTCTACCGTGCAACTCCGCTACACAGTCCACCATAAAATAATCTGCGACAATAACATGTTATTTGTGTATGGTGAGAATATTTACAAAGTGATTAATAGAAAATAGATAATTGAATATATATATGTACAGAAACATTGACTAACTGGTGCAAAGTAAAAAAGTGCTATTTGAGACGATCACAGACATAGACAGACGAGCACAGTGCAAGACATACATAAACATGGACGAACATATAGACAAAATGGACAATTACGAACAGACAGGAACATTTAAATACAGAGACATGATATGTACATATATATATATTTTGGTCATTTTGTCGGTCTGGTCGTTCTGTCCGGTAGAATGGCAGGGCGGTGCTACTCTTCCTTGGGGCTTGTCGGTGAGTGATAGGCCTGATCCATTCTTCCATCCATTTGGTTTTTGTTGTCCGGTATGGTGGTTCTGTTTCATCTTCATTTTTTGTGTTCATTCCTTTTGTTTGTTGGTTTCTGAAGGAAGAATCCAGCACCTGAAAAGAAAGAAAGGAACAGTGGAGGGGGGGGGGAATGGTGGCAAAAAAAAAATAACTTAAATAGAATGAAAGATATAATTAAAATAAATTGGATAGAGTCAGGTAAGAATAGTAGTAGGCATAAGGTTCAAATAAAGCATAGTATATTTATAAATACATTTTATAATTCTTTATTTCAAATCCATTAAGGGTGAGATAAATTTATTCGTACGGGATTTATTTGACTCGCGCTGTTATAAAGCGTAGGGAAATAACTGGTGATTGGTCACCATGGGCCAATCAGGAGCTCGTATTGTGAACTGCTGACCCGACCTTGAAAGTTGTAAACAACAACACACATGTGTAATGGCTGCACCCATGAAAGAACGTGAATCGACTGATATTTCATCAAATTTACGCTGTATTATTCATTACCAAGGATTTAGAAAGGAACGAGAACAATTATTTACAAAATCTCGCTGGGATAAATTCCGTGAATGTGCCCATGAATGGCTAAAACTTGATGGGCGAGCGAAATGGATAGCTGAACAGGCGACTTCGGGTGATATAATCAAACAAGGAATTTATCGACGCGCCAAAAGATACTGGATTTCACCCAACATGCTACAGGCCTTTTACAGACAAATTCCGAATTGGGTCTGCCCGTAATCGTATAGATAAAGAAAAATTAAAATCCCCGGCTACAATCCAACCAGGGAATAGCGGGAGTGTAGACGATCTGGGACCTAGCTCTCCAAACAAATTACGCTCCTGAAGCAAAAAGAAAGAGTAAATCGGTGCTGCCTGTTGTGTGTATTATATGTAAAAAACGTGACAGATTTGTCACTGTTGGAGAAAATAGGAAGAAGGATGTATTAACACAGACTCAGACCCAAACAGGCTCAGGTAGGCCTAATGTTAATATTATGTTACTTACTAAATTTATAATTATTACTAATAAATATTAAATATATTCATCCTACAGTTTTTAATTATTGTGTTGTTGTTTTTGTTGTAAATGGAATCAGAAGTGCTACTGCAATCACTGTAAAATTGTTATGAAGCTAGCCATTAAAGCCCTTTACCCCATTTGTTGATTTGGCACAGTCATTGGTTAAAGTGTTGCACATTTGCTTGCACAAGGGATGAAACATAGAGAAGTTAACTTGTTTTTTATTTTCTTGGCCCACTTGTAGGTGCCTTGCTAAGACGATCTGTCTCTAGACCATTTCCGCTCACACAAAGGATCTGAACTAAACCGCATGCCAGAGTTGACCAGCCAGGTACATGTACATGTAGGCCTCAAAGTGACATTCCCTCCCCCACCCTTGAGCACAAACAACATTCAACGCTATATGGTGTATAATTTGTTTGCAAATTTGTTTGTAGGCCAACTGTTGAAAGCTGCTGAATTGAAAGAGGATGAAGATATTTTAAGGCATATCAGAGGGCAAGATTGTGTGGCCATTGAGGTCAGATATCACCAAAAATGTTATAGGCAATATACATGTACTGAATTTCTTAGACAGTTATCAGAAAGGTAAATATTTGTGATGTTTTTTTTATTTGTATTCTCCGCCTTCTTGCCACTGGTATTATTCAAATAAAACTGAACCATGGGCGAGTCCTGAAATTACTATGTTTTTGTCCAGTGGACGTTAAACCGCAATTCTCCTCTCTATCTCTCCTTGTACTGCTAATGCCTTCCTGTCTTCATTAGCTGGTTTCTGCATGAAAATAAGATGTTAACCCCTGTGTAAGTGTCTTTTTCCTCTGTTGTACGAAATTAATGAGAGTAAACCAAGCTCCAGAATTTTGTTTTAATTGTGTACATGTATATGTTTATTTATATTTTTCAGCAAAGATGACTAGCCCTCCGTCGAATATTAAACCACATACAATATATTCTGTGAAGATGTCATAAGAGAAAGAATCATAAATGGCCAGCAAAGTTGTCTTGTACAGAGAGAGAGAGAGAGAAATGGGGTTTAACGTCCACTCAACACAAACTAGGTCATTTTGGGACTAACATACGGTTTCAATTTTATTTCAATAATTCGCTTGCGCGTATGGGTCATTAGCAGTGAGAGGAAACCGGAGTGCCCGGAGGAAACCCACAAGGTTGAGAAGACGCCTCTATCTCCATGCCACATACGCTCACACCTGGGATCAAAGCCACAGCCACAAGCCAGAGGTGACCGACCAGCTAGATGTCGAAGCGCGGCACTCTAGGCCATCCCAACCCCCCTTTCTTGTACAGACCTGTGCATGTGTAGTCAATGTGAAAATGAAAAAAAAACTGTTAAAGAGACCGAATTTGATGTTAATACATTTAGTGACAGTGATGATGATAATGAAGATTAACTTTGATGACATTTGATGTGCAGAGTAACTGTTTAATTTTGATTTTCAATGATTGTTTCACTTTAATAAATAATATCACAACTGTTCATCCTGTTTTCTAACCTTTCCCTTCATTCCAGCCCAGATACACAATTATTTTTTTTAACTTATATCTACATGTATGTTTGTAATTTGACCATTAATCATATCCGAAATAGTAGTTCACAGCTACATTACAGTTGTAAAAATACTGTAGTGGCTAATTGAAAGGGAACATGTATGTGGGTTTAGAATGTTTATCTTAGTGGAAAAAAATCATGTGGTTCAATGCTTATAAAGTGCTACTGATCTCCATTATTTCAAAAGCATATCACTCAACTACTGTCAAACATATCCCCTGGCTAGAATATGCTACAAATAGACTCTAGCATGTTCCATACAAGCGATAATTTCTGAGCAAACATCCAACAACCAACCCTAACAGGCCCTTGAGATCCAACAAACAAAATAATTATTGGGCTTGTTTGCCCACACCTGGTCTTATGATTCATACAACCCTGATAGTCTATCAATTACAGGCATTTGACAGAAAGGGAGATAATTCTTTTTTACCGTTAATGGATTTCCACAATTCTTTATTCACCCATGACATTTGTGTTTTGAGCATTTTAATTTACATCAAAATCTGTCCAATAAACTGTTCATTGCCCAGGATGAAGGCATGAGGTGTTTTACCAACTATTTAATTTTATGTCAACTTCAGAATTGTTAGTACACAAATAGCATTTATTTGACAATTTTGACGAATTTCATCTGGCCCTAAATCAATAAATTGCAAACATTTTGCTTGGAACTCCCAGATTTTGTCTTCCTGGCATCATAAGCTTTCCAAAAATGTATAGTTTTTCTTTTATGGAAGACCGTGTAGCGGAGTTGTGTTTCTAAGCTAGCTAGAAATTTTGGCTGCAGGCCTACACCTCCCAAGCTAAATTTCCCTCATGTCATCCTGTATAGCAAAGGCATATGCCTGTCTTAATTAACCCAGTACTAAACACAATTTACTTGTTTAATTTTTCCAGCATTTTTCAGGATAGCTGATGGGATGCGGGTCAAGTTATGCCACTTGTCTATTTAATTATTTACCAGTGAAAAATCGAATTAACTTCACCAAATTTTTACTCATTATAATGATTTTTTTTTTCTGTTCATATTATTTCTATGACATGTGACAGTGACTGTGAATATGAAAGCTTTAATATCTGCTTAGCAGATCTAGTTAAGCTTTCATATTACATATGAAAGCTTATTGTTTCTGTTAAGATTATTAAGCTTTCATATTACATATGAAAGCTTATTGTTTCTGTTAAGATTATTATTGTTATTTTTTTTTTGTGTTTTGTCCACAAATCGGATTTCTCAGAATCTAACCATAGGATCGTTCTGAAACTTTTACCTATCCCCCCAAAAATGGGTGGTGGCTGTTGATTAAATATATTTTCAAAACGTTTTACGAATCCGAAATCACCGAATTTTACGAAGGAATGCATTTGACCTACAATGCTGTAACTTTGTGACTATTTGACCTATTTTACTAATTCTTTTTTCTTTGAGTATCTTG